GCAGCAGATATGTAGTGGTGTACTCTTGAATTTATTTTCATTGAACAACAATCAGGTGAAGATGCGTCATGACCTAAATTGATCATTCTTACCACTTTCAATTCACTTAGTTTTTTGTTTCTCTTTTGACCTTCTGCTATCTTGGCCAACATTTGTCAGATTTCAGGAAGAGAGAAAGAGAGAGATAGGGAAGTATAAAGAGCCAAATAGAGAAAAGCAGTTATTTTTCTACTCCTATAGTCTCATGACTGTAAGATCAACCACACTGATGAAGAAAGATGATGCAGTTATATATGGCACAGAGTGTAAGGAGATTAAAAAGAAGGAGACACTATTTTTGAAACTTCTCTGTACTATAAAATGACACTAGCACAATTAGCGGCGGGTGCCGCCTCAACGGTCTTAACCTGTGCTCATACTCAACATTCATCATCCATTTGCTCAACTTGTAAGTCATTCTTTATTTGTATCTTTGACCTGATGTAACATCACAGGAGTTTGTAGGAAAAATGATGAAACTCCCGCCCTGAAGTTTGGCAAGTTGTACTGAACCATATGCTCAAAATCTTTACATTTATTGCATTTTACTTGTATTTTTCTCAATAATTTCATCACAATAACAAAAATCCCAATCACAATTCTGATACAAAAAACAAAATTCCTTTGAGAAACACCTTGTACTGAGAAACTATTACCTCTTCAAATTGCTCACTATTCATTGAAAGTTACTCAATATTTCCAAATCAACCATTGTTTACGCCATCTTGACATTTTGAGATAGATTGGTGATACATTCCTATAACTTTGCAATCATACCAAAAACCTTGTGTTAGTGCATGAGTTGGAGGAGTCATGATCATATTGAAACAAACCTTGAGAGGTACACCATTGGTTTTGCTCATCAAGTGTTGTTCAGCGGGGCAATGGATTCTGTAGGTCCTCCAGCTTTTTCTAACACCAGAAACCCTTTCAAACTTTGAATCTGATGCAAATCTACAAAATCAATTTTATTAACACAAGTAAATGTGTTGAAAATGAATGATCCAGGATGGGCAAGAAATGGATCTGAAAGTGAAGATTTATTGGAATTTGACAGAAGAGAAAAAGACGACATGAAAAACATGAACAAAAATTAAACTTGTCAGAAATCAAATTTGAAATATTCAAGATCAATTCAATGGAAAGTCAAAACCAAATTTCAGAAGAGGAGTTGACAATTTCAAAGACGGATTTTGAAGAAATTATGGCTGAAAATGTCATACTGATCAGTGAGCTTTACTTCTTTTGATAGCAGTTTTTCTCCAGTTATTTACACTGATTATTTTTCTTCTTTCCTCTGGACATCACTTTGTTTTCAAAAAACAAAAAACAAATCAATGATATAAATTGACTTTAACAGGATTAAAAGAAACACATTTGGCAGAGATACTTGAAGTTTTGATATTGTTTGACACACAATCATCATTTTTGAAATCTTTTGAAACATATTGATTCAGTTGATTTGGTGTCAAAGGTGGTATAGTTGGATTTGATATTCAAGTCGTATACCTCAAACGTTTTCTAGTAAATAAAACATAGATTAATCCTTTTTTGGGATTCCAAAGCGTTTCTTTTACCATCTTTTGTCATTCATTAAGTAGTCTGGATGTTATTGTATTTAAAAACTAAGTCATTTCATTGGCTGCATTAGGTTTATTAAATGTTCCCAGCTAGGAAATAGTTCACCCAGTTGCTTTGGTGGATCTATTACTGGCTTTCCTTTGTATGTTAAACTGATAGATGATCAAAGGAAGTTAACAACAGCTAAATGTTTCTTGTATGGGAGTGATACATACGACTTACTTCTAGGCAACTGTGCTGTCAATGAACAGATCATACTTCATCTTAGGATGTTTCAAATCCCTTGATCTATTGTTATTGTTGAGAATTTTTGATTACCCCTAGAAATTATGAAGCTCATGTAGATCAGACAAAAGGATCCAAAAATTGAGTTGGAGTTCATTATGATCACACAACCTGGAATGTATTTCAACAGTTTGACTTCTCCAGATTGACCAAGTCCATTCTCCTGAATGAGTGTTTTTCTAGGTAATCAAAACTGGTTTAGTGGTGAAGTCAAAAATTCCCTCACAGTCTCATGGATCATGGTAGCAGCAACTACTCGGCGGTCCCACACATTGAAAACTTCAGCATGGGGATTTGAATCATATTGATCAAGACAACAGGTATCTACACCTGAGAGGACTATCAAGTTTGGGACATTCTGCATGACATCCATCAACTCTGAGTGTTGGATGTGAAGCCAGCCCAAGTATCAACCACTCAATCTGGACCACACCAAAGGGTCATGAAAGGAGTTGATGAGATCACAAATTGGAAAGTGACAGTTTCATTGACAGCTCCAGCCAACCAAGATATACTTGTTTCTGAGTAGGACCTAGCATTGTCTTTTCTGCATCATCAATCTGCTGGTCTGGACTTTGATAACGACAACACTCCCATACAAAAAATGCCTCGTCACCATGCCAAAACCAGTAATAGTTCTTGCCCTTTCCAGGCCCATCATAATTGGCATTGTTGAGATAATGCTTGTACGCTTTGTTTACTTGTTAGAAGGTTGGGTCTGCGTCATTGTCTTGACCTGCCCAGTCGTTGTAGATCTTTGAATGTATAAAAACTCAGTCAACTCCTAGGTTGATAGACAATATGTTGTCTGAAATGCACTCACTTCATGATCATCATAGATATGAATAGTCCTCATGATGGACTGCAGGAACTGTAAATGAATTCATCATGTCAATCCCAATAGAGTCCTGTAGAGGAATCAAAAATTCAAGTCTTAATGGATGGTCTACCTTTTTCCATCCTGCGCTTGCGTAAGATTGTCAGTACTTTCTCCAATAATCTTGTACACAATTTCCAGCTTAGAAAGGTGATTTGGCATAGATAAACTCGCCAAGGACCAATACCAAGTCCAAATGTCGCTCATGAGGAGCAATTTTGGCTAGCTCTTCTGCTGCACCGTTGTGAAGGGGTGATCTGAGAGGGTGGTATGGAAACCCAGCTGCACACTGTGAAAGAGTGCCAAACAGACGTATCAGATGATCTGGTCATACGAAAACACTTATGAGTCAGAATAATGCACGTTTGATACACCGGGTGTATGCAGATGGAAAAAACCCTTCATGAACCGCGTTAGATGCAAGGCGTGGATCAGGGACCGTCCTAAAGCATCTTACAACAGCGAACCAATCATGATGCGTGTTGGAGGATTACAAGGATGTTAACCGATCTAATTTGTGCGGTCAAGGTTGTGCCGCTTAGCTTCGGAAGCAAGTACCAGGCCATACATTGTCAATCTCAACTACTGAATTCTAGTCAATTTCATTAGATGTAAACAATTCGCGTCCTACTATCCAATCCCCAACAGGTTTTCTTGGTCAATAGAGGACATTAGCACCTACTGAGATTTCATCAGAATCATATAGTTCCGAACCTGTTTGATCACGAGGTGGAATTTGAGCATGAATCTTGGCCCAATTTTCACCTACTGCTCCTACTCTCACCAATGCTAAATCTTCTTCACCATTTGAAAAATGAGTCCTGAAGCTCACATCCATACAGAATGCTGTCAAGAGCAAGTTGACTAATAAGATGAATCGATTAAAGCCAAGAGAATTTGTCAAGATCCCAAGAATTGACTCAAAGAGCCAAACTGGTCTACTCAATTGAGGAATGGACTTTGTGGTTATTGGATGCGATAGTGTCTTCTAAATTTGCTGACCTTTGTGAAAACCACTTTGCTATTCAATTCAAATCGGGGATTGCTTTGAGATGATCTTCTTGAAGTTGTTGTCAATCTGAGAATCCTCGATTTGATGAATTGCTAGACAGGAGATCGATGACATTGATGAGCAGACGGGTGACGTGCAAATCGACTATTGAGTCAAGAACCGTCATGATCGAGAAGACGGTAGACGTGTGATTTGTTGAGAGCCGAACCCGGTGCCGTATGCTTCAAGAGTTGATTAATTGATCATCTACTTTAAGTCCGGAATCATATGCAGGAGAATGATCAGAAACTAAATCAACTTGAGCAAACAGTTTTATCAAATTTGTTTCCCTTTCTTTTGTTGATGATGACGATGGGACTGTGGATGGGTTTAAAATTAATGGTAACGTTTTGGATATCTCTTCGATTATTAACTTTAGATCGCTTTTTGATTCATGAACCCTTCCTCTTGAAACTCTAACTGATGATAAATTGGTGGAAATCCTTGGTGATTGTTTAATGATGGATTTAACTCTGTTTGATTGGTTTTTAAGACTTCAAATTGTTCATTTAATTCAAATTCAATTTCTTTTTTTCTCTGTTACAAACAAAAATTATCAACTTAAATCAGTTCTTAGAAAGTTTTTGTTTGATTTTTCTTTAGTAAATAGATTTTGATTTTTTTTGGTGTACACTTACTTTTGAAAGATAATCATATCTTTCTGTTTGTGTGGATTGGAGATCGGTTTTGGTTGATGTGATGGATTTATTAAATTTACTTTCATTTGATTAATCGATTATAGAATTGCTACAATTTATTGAAGAAGCGGTCAAGCGATTGGGAAGAGACACAGTGAGGTCAACAGGTTGGGGAGTTGTTCGTGAGCAATGACAAATGAAATGGGAGGCTTGAGGCGCGTAAGAAAAAGATTATGGTTGGAACGCGTAAACCTCAAAATTTGGAATAGGGATTGGGAGTTTTTGGAGTTTTGCCGCCAAAGGCGGTCTGCCTTTAACTTGAATGATAATTGATTTTATCCAATCCATCAAAAGAGCTTAATATTTTTTGATCTCTCAACAAGAAGTGCACATTTCTCCTCTTGATAATGAAGAAATAAATTGATTTTTTGATAAGGGTTGGTAACTTCAGTCTGATTTCTAACAAAGAACCATAATCATACATCCATTGAAAGCTTTTAGTCAGATTAGAGAAGAGATCCAACCATTCATCATGAAGAGAGTTGTGAATTTCTTGCAAAATTGACTTTTATTAATTTTTTCCATTGATACTTCTCAGTTATAAGATAATTTGGCGATTCATGAAGAATGATAATTTAGGTTCAGCTTCAGTAACAAGTTGGTGCCAAGAGACTGACTTGAGTTCAAATCTGCAACTACTTTGATCATTTTGAAGTGAAACTCCAGAAGCATTATGCAAAGAAAGTGAGTCCATCATTGTTCTGTGAATAAAGGAATAATCAAGAATGATGTCTTTGTATGAAAGCCTATTCCCAAATATCAAGCTCTTAAACCTGGTTCAGCAGGTTTTCATCAACATGTCACATCCAATCAGTCACCAGATTCTTCCACAGAGACAACAAGCGGTCAACCCAAGAATTTAATTGAAATACCTGATTCAGAAGATTTTCAAGGACTGCCAAATTGTCAGAATCCATCTTATCCTCAACTTCCGGAATTTGATCAACAAACTCAGAGTCATACAATCAATTCTTCTGATGATAATCAATTTTGAGATCAACTAGACGTCTTCACTGCAACTGAATCAATACCTATCAAGGCTTTTAGTTTTTCAGTAATTTTGCAATTAAAATCTTTATAACCAAACTATATTTATTTTCCAGTGTCCAATTCTGCTGCAAATTCTACATTCTTTGAGAGAACCCTGGAGGCACTCCTTGGTTCAAAAGCCCAGGGGGACTTAGTGGAGCTAAGGGTAGCCATGAGTGACCCGTGTCTGCGGCCCGCACCCAGGATACTTGTGAAAATCCTGATGCCATCTTTTTCGCCGCAGACAAACTCACTCATACCCTCAAGCCCCAACCGATCACAGATCATCTAAGTCCTTGACACAGTCTATCTGTCTTGTCAAATTAAATTTAAAAAGATCTCAATCTCAAATCCGTGAATAATTTTAGTTGCAGGTGGATAATCATAGCTTCAGACATCAAGAAAATTAACAAATTCTTTTTACGGACACAAGACTTAGAAAGATTGATCAGATGGACAAATCTATGGAAGACAGATTAGAAATGGCAGAAGCAAATTTGGCAAGGGTGACTCGAGCAATGTCGGCAGCGAACACATCAACGTCCGTCCCAGAAGGTGGCCCCAGTCAGACCGACATGGCTCAAACAGAAGGTCAAGAAGGCACCACCGGTGGAGGTCTCGCTGAACAAATGGATGCCAACCATCAGATTGGGCCTACGGCAAACCAGCTCAATACCGTGGTTGAAGAAGTCAAAGAGGACTTGGATGGAGTTGCTATCCTTGAGATGGATCCCAGGTCAGAGACCGAGGACGACACGTGGCAACCTCACGAACACGCAGGGAAGGAGAAGGGAGCGAGGGAAGACACTCCTACAGACGAAGAGGAGAGCTTAGCGGAAGAGGATATGGATCTGAGTAAGTTCATTTACTTAACAATCCCTTCTTAGTCACTCCAATTTCGTTGTTCTCCTTCCTTTTTATATCGGACACACTGCCTCCTTGCCTCCCATTATGCACCTATGTAGGGTACTTCGATCACAAATGAATTTAAATATCAACAACACTGCCAAAAAGACGTATAAGAAGGTACTTCGATCACAAACAAATTTAAATATCAACAACACTGCCAAAAAGACGTATAAGTCGAATAGTATGAGGAGATATCAAGATGATATGAGTGGCAGTATATTAAGCCCACGTAAGACCCTGTCGAATGACTCGGGGCAAGCTATCCCGGCTGCTAATAGGTGTTGCTACGAGGCAGGTGTTGCTGAGAGCGTTGCTAAGAAGCGTGTGTTTCTGAAAGCGTAGACAAGATTGAAAAAGATGGTTCATGATACTTACAACACTGTGTTGATTTGCTCAACTGTAACAGCACACGGTGATCGAATCCTGATGCTACAAGCTAGGATAGATGATGCATACATGAGAAGAGATTACGCGCTGGGAGCAGACCTTCTAGCGAAACTCACGGAAATGATTACCAAAGAGACGGCTAGACACTACGCTCCTGCACCTAGAAACGACGCTCAAACGCCAGTTCTAGCCCTTGTTCCCAATCATTCACACAAAAGACGGACCACGCCTCATCGCCTGATACAAGAAAACCTCTCTGATTTCTCGACGAGTGTGAGACAAGAAACACGAGTTGGCCCAACCCCGGTGGAATCTAGGATTGTAGTCGCACGACCGGAACCGCCTCTAATTTGGAGGTACAATGGTGACCGCCGGAGCCACTCGCCATCTACTATCGGGGAACCTGAACCTGTGAGAGAAACGAACGCCACACCACAAACAAATACGGACGTAGCAAGTAGGGCGAAGGCCATGCCGGAATCAGGCAAAGGCCGGATGATCTTAGCGAACGGGGATGTGATAGAGAACGGGAGGTTAATGTTGAAAGATAAGACAACGCAGCTGGAAAAGTCTCTACCTTCCCTGAGCCCGGTGCTGTCGCACTATCTACGCACTTTCAAGGCATACGTCCCGTTGCCAGTCTTTGACAAATTATGGCTGATTCGTGATCAACAAGCACGGGAAGGGACAGAACCGCCCTCAGAATCTAAATTGAACAAGAGCGGCTCAAACCTGCGGATGTATGGAGGCGACCCACCTATGGAGGAGTTAACAATGCAATACGAGCATTGGCTGGACTGCTTCACCCTTCTCTCAAGATACATTCAGGATGCGGGTTGGATTACTTTAGCCAAAAACTTGAAAATCCACAAAGAGATAGTGGTAGAGCTCCGGGAGACGAATGGTGGGATGGTAGCGCTTCGCTATTGTGAGAGAGTGCGCGAAGGGGTAATGAGAACCAATGTAGGAGGAAAAATTGTCAACGTGTCGGAACTACAGCGGACAATCCTAGATGAAGTGAAGCAAGTGTGCGATAATTTTGGAGAAAGAGCCCTCAGGTTGAACCCGTACGCTCCGGGCAGTTCCAAAGATCACTTAGACCCGGAATCCGGCCTGCCGAGAGCGAAACATGGGAGTGGTACGTCGAAGAAGGCATCGATCACATTGGTGAAGGCGGAAGAAGGTTCCTCAGGAGGCAAGAGGAAGTCATGGTTACCCAACGACCAGTGGGAAGCCAAGTTGAGAGCGAAAGGAAAGTGGGTAGAAAAGAAGGAAGGACCAAGTAGGAGATCAGACCATGGTGA